AAGAACAGGCAATTGGGTAAATATTCGTAGCCATGATATAGCGTTTTAAGACTTCCAACTGAGTAGATTAAGACATAACGTGGTCATGAATGCATGTGTTTTAGGGAGAACAAAGAGTTTTAGTTTGTGTTGGCCCGAAGATCGGCTTCCCATGAAAGAGCCAGAGGGATCTTAAAGTAACCGCCAGATATCAGGTGTCGCATAAATAAGACATTACACTGCCCCTTTCTTCTTTCCATCGGCATCCTTGGTATATCTTCCGCGCCAGCCATCGCAACATATTCGGTACTGCATGAAAACATCCGCACAAGTCAACACTTCCATAATGCTGAGGAGTGATACTTGGTCTCTTCAGCATCTTCAACTTTGGCTAATGTTACGTTCGGTCGGCCACCCTGATTTTGGCTCGCATACATCTATTTTCCGTCATCGCGTGCACGACTGGATAATGGAACTCTGGTTCTGTACATAAGGAGAACCGTAGTGTCATTTCTAGCATATGTATGCGGTGGTAGTGGAATTTCCGACATGAAACATTTCCAGAGTGGTTTCAGAAGTGTCGCTTCAGTTGTTAATATCTTGTCTGTGGAACACGGGGCCTAATGCAGACAACATTCTCAATCCTTCTGTTGCTTTTGTAACTTTCCTTTCTTCAACCTGCTTGTACTGCAACCAACGACATACTATAGTAGAAGCCATTAAAAAAATTTCAAATTTACTTTTATCAGCCATCATTGTAGTACTATGCGAATTCTGACCGGTTAGAAGAAGACATAAAATATGTAATCTTGGGAGATCGAAGGTATTTAGCGTTAGCTTGGCCCGAAAGCCAGTACACGTGCATTAGATTTAAACGAATCCTAAAGTAACTGCCAGACATCGGGTAGTCACATAAACAAAGAATTACACACAAGGCAATGCTATAACTTTGCTAATAACGTTATGACAATGTGAGATGTAGTATCATCTTTGTTCAAAGGGTGTTTCTCTCATTGGTACGAGATGTGTAGGCAGAATTATCCCTCCAATGTTTCATATCATTTTTCCTCCTTATAAATGATGCAAACATTAAAAAAATCGCCAGTCAGAGACTCAAGATCTCACTCTGCATTCTTAATCTGTTGGGGGAGGATATAAGTTATTGCCTTTTTCCTGTCTGCATGCGTGTGTTTGTGTGTGGGGAGGCGTGATAAAATTAGACTACTTCCGGTTCGGCAACTGTTTGGTGACCCCTCCCTTTTACTGCAAACATACATTCACCGGCATACAAAACAGGAAGATGGAAAATTTAAAGTAATTTGGCCACTTCCATTCAAGCTGATTGAATTGCTTTGTTGTTGGTATGTTATGGCGCAGTGTAAATTATTGTATTTTGCAATCGCTTGAATATGTTCATTTTATGTGCATATTTGCATATGAATGTGTGCGCCCATTTTACAAAATTTGCTATAAGTACTGTTGCATAATTTGGCCACATCGAATCTGTGACTATTTGGATTTGGGGGCAGGGCCTATGCTACTTACTATCTTAGTAAGTAGCCGAAGTGCCAACACCAAAATAAGGAACAAACTAAACGCCATTGACACCGTGTGTGAAGTCAATGATTAGCCTAACAATAATATAATTACTACACTCGGCCGCATTTGCTAACATCATCCACGCTTTCCATCATGCAGTCAATTACACATTCTTCTTTTGTTAAAATGAAAGAGGACTAATATAATAGTGAATTTTTTGCCTCAAGTAGTACATGGTAAGGAAATGCATCTGTGGGAGTCTAGGCGGCTCCACCATAGGCATGTTTTTCATTTACACGATCAGGAATAGCAGGAGCATCCAGCTCATCGAGAGCGAACACATTAACGCGGTCAGGGGAGATGATCACCGGACTGCGGAAATCTGAGACAACGAGGAGATCACACGCCTCACCGTAGTAGTCAGGATCGCAGATACATCGTTGTTCGTTCACTGGTTGACTCTCTTCATCCCAACCTATGCGTTGTACACACCGACCGTGCGAACATGTGGGAGTTCCACTCGGACATTCGGTGACAATTAGACGACTGCAGTAAAGAAGCAAAAAGATTAGGCTTAATGGTCAAAAAAATTAAATTTTTTAACAAGTGCATTGAATTACCACGTTAATTATTATACTACTCTTATCCCAATTAGTAATCGGGTCGGTATTACAAGACAAACAATCGGATAGAAGATGAGATAAAAGTAGAGGGCTGTCAATTATTAAAGCACTAGAGTAGGTGCACCTTACCTGTTAACCAGGAGGAAAGATGCAAAGAAAAGGACGAGAACAAACATCGAGTGAGTAGAAGTGAACATGCGCATTAGTGTAACTGATGCGGTAGTGGAAACACACGTTCTTATGTACCTTGTTCTGACGCACACACACGCACTAAAGCGCGCATAACAAAATCATGTGGTTGGCCGAATATCAGGTGCAGACACACCGAGGTAACGCACTCCAAGTAGCAGTGAAACTAATGTCCGTGGTGTTGACGTGGGTGGCAACATCTGTGTTGAAAACCTATCTGTGTGTGTATCATAAACGGTGACCTAATCACCACGTCAACGCATCACTGATGACGCTAACTTGCTTTCCACCCATCTGGGATGGTAAAAGTTGTATTCCAAAGTGCCGTTGCCTTGGCGGTAAGATGTGCTTGGATCTGACTCTCCGCAATTTGGTGAAGAAACACCGCGCTATGTTCCAAATTGACGTGTCAGTATTGTAATGCGGCAAGCGAAAGTGAGCAGCAGTGAAGTGTGAGAATATCAGCTACATTTCTAAAGTCTGAATTATTAATAAATGTGCCGCTGACGATACACCACCAATTGTTGTTTCACGC